TTTGTTATATTTTACGGGGTTATCCTTCATTTCATTATTCACTTTGTTACCTTCACGGGATTATCCTTCCCTGTGATACTGTTCATTATGTTACCTTTCACGGGTTATCCTTCACCTTGATACTGTTCAATATGTTACCTTTTACAGGGTTATCCTTTACTGTGATACTGTTCACTTTGTTATATTTTACGGGGTTATCATTCATTTCATTATTCACTTTTTACCCTTTCACGGGATTATCCTTCACTGTGATACTGTTCACTTTGTTATATTTGACGGGGTTATCGTTCACTTTGATACTGTTCAATATGTTACCTTTTACAAGGTTATCCTTCACTGTGATACTGTTCACTTTGTGATATTTTACGGGGTTATCGTTCATTTCATTATTCACTTTTTTATCTTTCACGGGATTATCCTTCACTTTGATACTGTTCAATATGTTACCTTTCACGGGGTTATCCTTCAATGTGATACTGTTCACTTTGTTACTTTTCACGGGGTTTATCTTCACTATCATACTGTTCACTTAATTTCTTTCACGGGGTTATCCTTCCTTGTGCTACTGTTCGCTTTTTTCCCTTCACGGGATTATCCTTCCCTGTGATACTGTTCATTATGTTACCTTTCACGGGGTTATCATTCACTATGATACTGGTCTATTTGTTACTTTTCACGGTGTTATCCTTCACTTTGATGCTGTTCAATATGTTACCTTTTACAAGGTTATCCTTCACTGTGATACTGTTCACTTTGTTATATTTTACTGGGTTATCCTTCATTTCATTATTCACTTTTTTCCCTTTCACGGGATTATCCTTCACTGTGATACTGTTCACTTTGTTACCTGTAACGGGGTTATCCCTCATTGTGATACTGTTCACTTTGTTTCTTTCACGGGATTATCTTTCACTGTAATACTGTTCAATTTTTTACCTTTTACGGGTTGTTTTACCCTTACTATGATACTGTTCTATTTGTTACCTTTCACGGGGTTATCCTTCACTTTGATACTGTTCATTATGTTACCTTTAACAGGGTTATCCTTCACTGTGATACTGTTCGCTTTGTTACCTGTCACGGGGTTATCATTCACTATGATACTGGTCTGTTTGTTACTTTTCACGGGATTATCCTTCTCTTTGATACTGTTCAATATGTTATATATAACGGGGTTATCCTTCATTTCATTATTCACACTTTTTTTCTCTTTCACGGGATTATCTCTCATTGTGATACTGTTCATTTTGTTCCTTTCACGGGT